TTATTAAGAGCATATTTACTGCACCCCAATTTCAGTAATTCATGATATAATTGATTAGGAACATGGGAAAACTGATTTAAGAAATGAAAGACTTACCAACAGCAAACCTGCTGGGAATGATGCACTAATGGCCTTGCAAAAAAAGCACCAGTGGCTCTCATTATAATACTAATATGTTCACCTTATTTTATGATTGGATTCTTCAGCAGCATTTGGTATTCTCACTAAAGACCTGACCTGTGCCAAACAGACATATTAAAATATATGTATTATGGAATGAAATATACAACTCAAGTCCCATAAAATGCGAAGGCAGCACCTTATATTAATGGAAGCATGTTCCTTCAATGGTGTCTGTAGGTAAACATGGATCCCATAAATAACCACAGACCTCTTTTATTATTCCCCAAGACTCAATCAGTGTTCAGCCAAGGGAACGAGGGAGGAGACAACGGTTACAGAGGAGCAGCTTTAAGTGAAGAGAGACTTCACTCTAGACGCTTGCTCAGTTTTCTGATGAGCTGAAAGAAACATCAAACCTTTAAGGGGAGGCTAAATATAAACACAGACATCTCAGAGGCAATTACAAATAGATGAAAGAGAGGACCAAGACAAACTTATCTAAATTATTTCCACCCTCTTAGAAAAATGTGTTTGATGGGATTATTAAACTGGCTACCATCAAGTCTGTTTAAAAACATGTTCTCAATTTTTGAGAAATTAATTTATACAAAGAGGGCTGACAGCTTTTTCTCACCAAAACTCCAGAATGATTGGATGTATATTTGAAACTGATATTTTCATTAAAGAAATCTACTATATGTTGAGTAAGAGAATGCATACAGCAGCCTCCTTTGAACATTCAAGAAAAAACGAGAAAAAGATAAGAATTGTGTCTTAATATATAAAATGCTCTTAGTTTTTCATGTTCTAAAATGATGTAAATCTAACGACAAGCGTTCAAAACCATATAACTGAAAGAAGATAAAACCATGTAAAATAGAAAAGCTTGTAAAGTTAAAAAAGGTATCAAAGGGGGAAGATCAAGACCTGAAGCAATCAAATATGAGATAAAATTTTAATAAAAATTTACTTACATTTTTTGAAATTTTAATTTTCTATTATTTTTCAGTTTAACCTAAAATTTGCATGCAGTGTCTCATCTCCATCTCAATTTGCACCTGCTGTGAAAATATATGTGTTTTGGCCCTAAGTGCTAAACTTGAAAGCAGTCTTGAAATCTAGTGACCACTAAACTCTATATGATACTTTTCAGGCTAATTTCCATTTGCTCAAACATTCAGGACAAATAGGCAGTAAGATCTCTGAATAGATTAAAATGATTGACCATAAACTGCATCATTCCTGTTTTATGTGTCTATTGATGTGATTTTTATATGTATAGTCAAATATTTAACATGAATGTCTCCAGAGATTACGATGTGAGGAATCTTAAAATAGCATATTTATAAACATCAATCTCTTCCATCTGAATATCTAAAAAAATGTAAATAAAGCTGTTGTCTCCAGGGTTCTTTGAATACACCTTATTGCTGTCAATCAATGTTGCTTGATTAGTTGAAATAAACTAGACAACAAAAAATGTACAGTATGCTACCCTCACATAAAAAAATGTATAAAACAGAGCTCAAGTAAATTTCTGCTTGATTAAAAATACTATGTCAACGTTTCTCTAAATTTGTGCTAATATAATAGAGTTATTGGGGGATTAGAATTGCATTGGGGAAAAGATTGCCTTGTTTGCAATTGTGTCTAAATTATGCTGTAAACCACATATTTCCATTCTTAGTTACAGAGCAGTGAAAGGTGAATACAAACGTAAGATTTAAAAGCCATTTTTACAGCTTTTGATTACATAATATTGTCCAAGTGTTTTTCAGGCCTGAGAAAATAAGAACATCACAGCCCTTAAATGTTTTTGGATTAAGAGCGAAACATATTTTAATAAAGAAAAAAATAAAGCTGCTCAATAAATAGAAATAAAATGTAAATATAGTAAAGAATATCACTAACCACTACAGCAGAAGTTAAAACTGCCACATCCGATGTTTAGCACACGTGCAGAACAAAAAAGGAAGAAAAAAAGAAACAACATTCGAGGATCGAATGGGGCAATGTTCATGAGATATGAAACTTCACTCATTCTGTCACTACTATTTTTTGTTTCCCCTAAACAACTTGGTCACCTCAGTGGTGGGGAACAAAGTGGACCCACAATTACTTCAACCTTTTATTATTTATAGAGCTTTGTATGCTTAAAGAGGGTTGACGGAGGAGAAAAAAAAAAATCAACAGGTCTCCAAAAACAGCAAGATGAATGTTGCATGTGTGCTGTAAAAAAAAAAAAAGAAAAAAAAAAGTGAAGTTGCTCTGGGAAAGGAGTGGTGCAATAAAAGATTTGGAGTGAACAGGCTTAACTGAGGAGACACAGACACAAAATATGTACTGAAGCAAAAAGATGAAAAACAATAGAATCTGCACATATAAACATGTTTTCCTAAAATCTCTCTCTTTATCCCAGCTGTATGTCATTTGAAGTGCAAAAACAGAGCACCACTTAGCCAAATTTCTCTTTTATTTTTGTGCATTTTTTGTGAAGGAACACCGTCTGACAATCGGAGGAAGTCGTAGTTCTATATGGCATTACTGAGTTGGTAATTATGCAGATCTACATTTCTTGGGATGCGTGCCAACTTACGCACAGGTTAACTGCATGAGGTTTACAGAATAATTTACTGAAGATTACTGAAGAGTTTGTACAAGCCCATTGGTAGGAGAAAAAGTAAGGGAAATTTACAACAAGAATACGAAGATGTTACTGCATGGGGCCCAAAGATTTAACAGCTTTAAAAAGAAAACAAAAACACAAAAAAACAAAATCCAACATTTTAATGACTTATTTAAGCCGCATTTTTTTTCTAGGCCATTTTGACAGATATACTGACTTCATTGTTTAACAAGAGACTTTTAAAATTCTTTTTTTTTTTTTATTTAATTTTGTTTCTCTGACAGCATCAATTTTCTGTTGCTCTGACAAAAAGGCCTGCAATGCAAATATTTCATTCAGATAAAAGTTATGTCTTAATAATATATTTTTTCATTGCAACAATTGAGGTTTTAGCCATTGACTGGTAAATGAACCTAATATCACAATGTGGTATTTAAAAAGAGTAACTTAAAAAGATTTGTACAAAATTTATTTTTCAAGTATAATTCAATTAAAACTGCATTATATTAAATATAACATACTAGATCAGTTTATCCCATATGTTTGCTGTAAATAAATAAATAAATACATTTTCTTTCAAAACAACTTACTATCCATCTACTGTAATCCGAAGCCAACTGTACTAAAACCAAGCCCACATTTAAAGAAACGATACGCATCAAAAACAGCTAATTACAGAAGCCGGGGGGTAATTCTGTTACTGCTGTGAAATATGAGGAGGCGAACATGAAGATCAAAATCCCCTAAGGGAGACACACAGGGAGAAGCAGAAGGAGAGAAAGAGAGGACAGTGAAAGGATTTATCTTTCTTTGCAGATGCAAAGTGTCTTCCTGGGTCTCCCAGTCAGCAGCTAGGGCAGTTTACAAGTCGAGGAATGGATTGATTGCCAATGCATCCATGTCCCTGTGTAGCTGCCAACTCTGAGCTAATTAAAGAACACTTCTCTGGAGAGACTCTTAGCAGCCTCCAAGTACATTTTATTTACTCTTGAGAAAGTGTACTACTGTACATCCCTTTTAGGAAAGAATGTTGCCAGCAATCCCAGCACAGTAGTAACTTTGCATTGTATTATGAAAAGTCTTAAAATCAACAGAGATCCATCTTTTCAGAAAATTGGCAATCCTTTTCATAGCTAGGACAAATTTGTCTGAAAATATGTATTTAGTGTGAATCAGGAGCCTGATCAGAGGAGCCTAATCAGTGGGAGATTACTCCTTCCCAAATGTAGGACCAACAGACTGCTCAACTCCTTTGTTCATCAAGCCATCAAGCTGTACAACCCCTCACTTGGGGGAAGGAGGAGGTGATAGGGAGAGGGGAAAGGGTCAGCACCCCCCTCCTTTGACATCTTATGCAAAACATTACCTATTGTCACTCATGTGCAACATTCTTCTCTCTCACTGTGCAATAACACATGCCAACTACTGTGAAGCCTGTGTAATTTTTTTAAAGCTATTTATAAGGTTAGTACATCTCTGCAGTGCAAGTGCAATAACCCAAGTCAACTACTGTGTAGTCTTCCCCTAGCTCTCCGCTGTGCAGATATTTCTATATGTAAGGGAAAGATATTCCAGGACATTACAACTTCTTTCTTTTTTTGTGTGCTTTTTTTGTACTATATACACCCTTTTTATATTGTATGTTTTATTTTTATTTTTAATGACATCTTGCTTTAACTCTTTTGTACTCTATATAAGCTGCTGGAACCGCAATTTCCCCGAAGGAGTATTCCCAAGGGATAAATAAAGTTGAGTCCAAGTCTAATCTGGTTCACAAAAAAACTATTTAGATTTATATGTGTTTATATACTTAGTCTGTTTCAGAAATCAAACAGACAATAAATGTAAATACATTTGATAAAAGTTAAAGGGACAATAATATATATTTTTTAACAGCTTATTTAATGTTAGTTGTGAGGATGCTATGAAAATGTTACAAATGTATGTTTCTCGTCATGCAAAGTCAACAGATATTAAATATTCTCTCCATGCCATTTTAGGGAAGATGAATTCTTTAAACTTTTAAGGTTAAAAGTTAGTTGATATATTTTACCACTTATGTTTGCTGATGCAAAAATCATAGTTTGCATTGAAAAAAAAACACTGTTTTCATCAAGCCTCAATAATAAGTCAACTGTTTTTTGGATATTCAATCCTTATTTAATCCTTATTTAAATCTTTATCTCTACTCACATAGATTCGAACACAAAAAGCTCCTTGCAGCCGGTTTGCATGCATGCATCATACGTACCAGTGCAGGAGTATTCATCCACTCTGGTGAAACCTGGTAGGCAGTCACAACGATAACTTCCAGGGAGGTTCATGCACATTGTATTGGACTGGCAGTAATGCATCTGTGTTGCACACTCATCAATATCTGAAAGAAAAAGTAGAAGTAAAGGTAAAAAACTCATAAGAAATCTAAAACCTAAGCACCAGAAAATTATTGTTCTAATCACATCATAGCAGAAGGGTGCATCATGATCCATTGCTGTAGCATTCAATGATGAATGGCAAGTCGCTATATTAACCCACTTATTAACTGGTCAATAATCAGCGCACAGTAGGTAATTTTTAAAAAACATATTCATATGTTCTACTGTTGTGACAAGTATGATAACAGAAAGTAGGTGGATGAGCTAAAACTGTGCAAAAACAGATTCAGAACAAAAATAAAATTCACAGGAGAAAAAGATGTACAGAAAAATAACGAAAAGGCTGACGACAAGAGGACGTTATAAGTCAGTAGGCCTGAGACATTAAAGAAGAGCATCATCTACATTGACATCCATAATGTGCAACTAATATTGTGATAAATTACACCTTCGCCCCATACACAATTCCCCCCTTCTTAATGTAGCTTGAAAGACATTGTATGAGCATTAAAACACGTGGCTCAGGAACACATTAGCTGTGCTGGATGGCTGCTGATGAAATGGGACGCGAATCACACTAGGGAGGTGTTATGCAGAGGAGTCTTGCTTTTTGTGTGTGCATATGTACGTAGTTGTACAGTTTAGAGCATTTATGTGCACAGTAGAAAACCAAATTCCTGAGGCTAACAGGCCTTTCTACCACTTAAGGGACTCTGCATGCCACACTTAAGGGAAGGAGAGTAAAGAGTTATTTCCATATCCATTCCTATGATAAATACCTTTTAGTTCAAGTTGTTCAGCTCAGACTTTGCAACTTACAACAGGATGCATTTAAAAGAACTATGAAATTGACTTGAATACAAGACCCAAAGCTTTTCTTGGTATATTCCATATCTAGAATCTAAACCACACGAGAGATAAGTTACAGGGTAAAGAAGAGGCAGTGCATACATTTAGGTGTTTAAAGCATTACTGACCTTCATAATAAAAGCTTACAATGCAAAAAGCACAAAACTAATGTGGGTGTTTGATTGTTTGTAAACACTCCCCAATGAAATCCATTTATTTGATAGCCTTTATGGGTGTAAGGTGCCAAAGCGTTGTTCAAGGATGATGGCAACTGGTTTGTGATATCGCCAACTCAAAGACCAAATAATTCAATGTCAAAGCTTTCAACTTTTGTCATCTTTCTTTATTCAAGTGAGAAAAGCATCAAGTGTCAGGCCACAGAATGCATCATGCTTTTTGATCTATTTGGTTCCAAGGTTCTGGTCCTATATGTATGCAACTGTGTATGGCAGCATCTGTAGTTGTGTATTTGCCCTTGGTAGCTTCTTCTGGGGACATTGTTGCAGGTGAGGTCTGTTGACAGAACTGGAACTGTCATTTTGCACAGGAGGGAATTCATTTTTTTTTCTGGATTTGCCAATGTCTCCCTGACTGCCTTCCTCCCTCCTCACCACCCTCTACCCCAGACCTCCACATCCTCCTATCCCACCCCCCTCTGAGCTCACTCTCTTCATCTCTCTGCTGCTTTATTCATGCTCTGATGTAGGTCAGGGCTGGGTAGGGGAAACAGCTAAAAATAAGGCAGGATGGGACTCTGTGCATGTGCATTTATGAGTGAGGGTGCACACATGTTTCTGCCAGCTCAACCCTCTCTGTGTGATATTCTCTGGAAAAACAGAGAAAACGTGAAAAAAAAATTATTCTAAATGTCAAGTGTTTGGATGCTGTGAGGCAGTAACAGGAGGAGAAGGCTCATATTCCTTCATCCAAATGTTTCCTGTATGTGTGTATCTCTGTACCAACAATTTCCTATCAAAAATAAAATTGTCTTTTTCTTGGGGATTCTCCTTCATTTCTCTATGCAAATTGCATAGTTGTGGCCGAGTGTGATTGTATAAATATAATCCAGACCTTAGCCGAGGAGACAGACAATCAGACAATGTCCAAGTTTTTTTTGGAAAAAGTTAATTTCCTTCACAGCTCAAGAAATTCTGAGAGTAATTCCTTTTTGGGTCCAAAATATCAACTTGTTTTGTTTTCTTCACAGCTGCTACTGCTGGTGTGATTGGCTAAAATACACTCCTTGCATCCCTAAGTACTTTCCTTGTTTTGGTTTTTATAATCACATCATGTTAAGTCTACCATAGTGGTAGCCTCATTTCTGCTTTATAAGCACTTTGTAACATATTGAAACTTTTGTATACTGTTTTACAACTCCTCTCTTCTTTCCTCAATGAAAAGCTTTTCCCTTAACCTGTAAGCTTTGATCAATAGTCTCCATAATACTGTTTAAATACAGCTCTAGGACTCTAACAGAGCAGCTCTATACATTGCATTTAAAGTCTTCATAGCTGACCTCCACAAATAAATTTAGGGATTTGTGACAGCAATTATCACAGTATATTTTTGTTGGGTATCAGCATTAATGTAAATAAGATAAAGTGCATATAAACTCTGCATTAAAAAAATTAAATCCTCTCATTTTCTTTCAAATTTGCATAAATTGCGATGATTGCAAGGATCAATTGTATAAAATCCAAATAAAGACATTGGAGCTTTTGTATTAATTTGCTACCAAGTCAAAAAGTTTATTCTGTCTATTTCTTTTTTTAATTATTATTATTTCATTTTGCATTGTGAACAAAAAAAAAATGTTGCAGTCATATGAAACAGTATTTTAATAAACTATATCTTTTAGAAATAATGAGTATGGATTATGGATTAGTTTTTAAATGAAAAATGAAATGTGTGGGCTCTTCAAAACATTACTTCGATAATCTTAAGTTAAAAATTGTTTTTCTTTCACGCAGTATTTTTAACTGTGATTTAATTTTTAGTGGAAAACTTTTGAAGAAGAGGATTTTGTAAATATATTATTTTTGCTGCCAACAATATATTCCCATTGTAAACTCCAACGTTATGATAAAAAAAGCTAATGGAGTAACCATACTACTTTGCAATAAAATCACAAGTAAAGGGTGCAAGGGGTGACATTATGTACCTATTGGCTTCAAGTCCAAAGCTTGAATTCCATAGGCCAAACTGGAGTGTTTGCAATGAAAGATAAGATAAAAACTCTTCAAAAAAATATTTCAGGCTGGTCTCAGTTCAAGCACATAGAAGACAAAATATTTGTAGATTTAAGCATGCTCCTGTAAAAGCATGCCCTGTGCATTGAAAATAACACAGGAGAACAGAATGGTATAGCTCTATCAGAACAATAGAAGGGTGGAGGAGCAGAGGTTTAATCTATCTGTCACTGTGAAGCTCCAACAAGAATCTGGATGTGCCATTCCACAGCTGCACACTGACAATTTCAGACAATGTGAAGACTGAAACACAGTCCCTCCCTCAGACAGACCCACAGTTTAACTGAGTGACAGGTTCTTTGGTGTTTTTGTTTTGTTTTTTTTGCAGGATATTCTCTCAAGTATGTTTACTGAAAAGGCCTGGAAGCACACTCACTATAAATGTCTGTGCAGTAAAATGAACCCTTACATCAGTCAAGGTTAGGAGACACAGTACATAGTTTCATTTTCTTCTGCAGGTTACTGCTCAGCTGAAATTGTACTTCTATAAAACATAATCTTATTCAATGCAGAAAGATATGATGGATATCAATGACACAAACAAAGGAGCGCATATGATCTGTAATAATGAGGGAATATATTGGACACAAAAAAAAAAAACACCTCGCCTTGTTTTACAATTTTCCAGTCCAGGTTGAACTGTCAACATCTGTTCAGTCATGTACCTCAAGAATAGTAAAATGCACTGTACAAAACAAGTTCAAAAGGACATGCCTTGCAGCAAGATGGTCCTGGGTTTACTTCTATGTATTAACCCCAGTCACCAAAGCTATTTTATCTGGTAGGGATCAGTTATTGCCCTAGGACTGCCCTAACATGCTAAAATATGCATCACAAAGGTATCAGACCTTGCTATGATTCACACACATTAAATCTAACTGTTGACATTGTGAACAAGCTAACCAGTAGTATCCAAGTAAACAGCTGGGCATATGGCCTCTGATTAAGAATAATAATGTTAAAGACATTGAGTATCAAACATGTCAAAGGAACTACAATTGTTCTATCAGAAACGATACCATCTCTTGTGGATTGTATCTTTTCCAAAAGCAATTTGGATATAATCCCTTTCGATCATATCCTGTCATTTGTTGGTGCAACAGAGAGCTGCACACTGAACTGTCAGTTTTTAGCAGCTTATATATAAAAAGCCAAATCTGTCATGAGGATCCAGAACATATTTAATTGATTCCAGTTGAGAAGTTCTGTATCAAATTTAAAGTCTGTAAGAATTGATAGATAATACTAACATCTATATACTAATACATACATTTATGGAGTCAGACATCCAGAAAAGAAGACAAAGAAACTGATATCAACCAATAAAGAACAGAAACCAAGAGCATAGACAATGCAGCAGTAAAATACAGTGATAGTGAGGAGCTGTGAGAGATGTCACTGTGATATTAAAACTTCATCTGTAATATGCAAGAATCACTTGAGAGTAGACTTGATATTAGGGCATAAATATTTAACAATGTAATGTTTGGCAGCTTAATTAGTTTTATTGTTTTAGTGGCTTAGAAAAAAAGTAATTAATTTCGGTACATTTACTTTTGAAGTCTTGTAAAATTAACATTAAAATGTTGGGCAATCTCATTAGATTATGTTTCTTTTATGATGTGGTGTGTTTGAGTATGATGTAGAAGAAATATTGTACCTCTTTTAGATAGAAGATAAAGCTTGAAATGTTGTGATGCTTAATGCACAGAGCCAAAACTTTACATACATTTAGGGGGTTTAGGAAAGTTGTAATTTATTATTAAAAACCGTATTGCAATTCTATGAGATAAAACAACACAAGACTAAAATCTTACTTGAACAAGTACAGTAGTAGTAAGTAAGAGTTTCCTTAATTAAAAATATTAAAGGTCGGGGCTTAGTCTCTCACAGAGATTTCTTTTTATTTGTGAAAA